CGGCCGAAATGAGCTTTCTCCGCAGGGCGGCCGGGCGCACCCTTAGAGATAGGGTGAGGAGCTCGGTCACCCGGGAGGAGCTCAGAGTAGAACCGCTGCTCCTCTACATCGAGAGGAGCCAGCTGAGGTGGCTCGGGCATCTGTTTCGTATGCCTCCTGGGCGCCTTCCTAGGGAGGTGTTCCAGGCATGTCCCACCGGGAGGAGGCCCCGGGGAATGCCCAGGACACGCTGGAGGGACTATGTCTCTCGGCTGGCCTGGGAACGCCTCTGCATTCCCCCGGAGGAGCTGGAGGAAGTGTCTGGAGAGAGAGAAGTCTGGGCATCTTTGCTTAGACTGCTGCCCCCGCGACCCGGTCCCGGATAAGCGGAGGAAAATGGATGGATGGATGTCCTACTACCACTTGGAATGACAGATGGTTGTTCCAACCATTTATCTAGTACTCTTAGCTAATTATTTCAACTGCTTATCCATAATTCAGCCATCTATTTCAATCATATACATTTAGCAATGCATTTCAACTATGTATCTATAATTTTGCAAGTGGTAGCTATTTCATACATACTTTGTCAACTATTTCAATGGGTTTCCAGAAATTTAAACATCTGTTTCAACCATATTTCCATTATCTGGAGCTAAGTATTTCAATCATTTATCTGCTATGTTTGCTAAATTTTTTTAGATTTCATCACTTGCTAAATAGTTTTCACACACTTTCACCACCTACTATTAAAGTGTTTCAGCCAATTCAATATGTAGATTTTAAAAAGATCCAATCATAATTTACCCTGTTTTAAACCAAGGTACTCCGTTGATACTACAGAGGTACCTCTGGCTGAAAATCACCGCTACTGACCATACACATCTCAGATTCTCTATTGCATGCTGCTACATGTATAAGGTAATTGCTAAAAATAAAAAACAGTCAGTTAATTGATTGATTTAATCTTCTAGAATATATGACTATATAACATCTCTCCCTCCCTTGCTTGCTCTTCAGTCTACGACTCCATCATCCTCAACTCCCACTCCCTCTGGGGTGCCACATATCATGGTCCAGGGAAGAGCACTCTTTGTTTCTGCAGTAATTGGAAGAGATGAGCTGAGCCCTGTCAGTGTCCCCATCATCTCCTCCTCTGCAGGGTGCAGGAAGAGCGAGGGACCGGAGAGTAGGAGGGATATGGAGAGAGGGAAAAAGAAGCCAAGGAGAATGGAGCGTTCCCACTGCCAGGGACTCTGATTAGGCAGAGAAGGCAGCCATTATCCCAGTATAGTCAGAACAGGCAACGGGGGGGGGGGGGGGGGGGGGTTTGATGTGACACACAGGAAAGGTTATCATGACTGTAGGGGTTTCATTAGGATGAACAAATCCCTGCTTTACATGGCTCAATGGAGATGTCCAAAAGAGAGACAGCCTAGGACAAGAACAAAGTCTGAGTGTGGCCTTATCATCTAAAGGAAGATAAAAGCAAAGCCGGGAATTCATTGGGCTAAAATGTTCCATTTATATGCATGCAAATAACTGAACCCAATAACAGCTCCTCAAAGTGTTACTGCAGCTCTTTTCTAAATGAGAAAGGCTGAGAGTTCAAAGATTTTATCTCAAAAGGACTGGATCTTTTGAGCGTCATTATGTTTAATCGCAAGCACTGCTGTGCCTAGATTTCTGGAAAACACAGAGTAAAAAGTTCAACTTCCAAAATGTTTCAAAAGTATTAGTGTTCATTTTTTTTGTTCAGTCTTTGCATTCACTTACTTTTGTGCACTGCTGTAAATAATGTTATGATGTTAATTTAAGCAAGAAATTGAGATTTTGTTTTAGTTTCAGAGTGTACTTTGACCATGTGTGGGTCAATGCAAACAAAACGTCACTGTAAAAAATGAAAATGTGTAGCCTTTGTTAGTCTGTCATTATTTTTTTTTTGATGCAACCGTGAAAACATTTGATCACTCTAAAGCCCATTTCAGACATGCACTCCTTTCCATGAAGGTAACTGCATCTGCATCTGCACACGCAGTTCATGTCTGAATGAGCACCAAGGTCACTTTTCTGTAAAAGTTGTGATGGAAATCTGACTAGGTTGGACCAAGTAGCATTTCAGTATCACTTTCATCAGGGCAGAGCCAGTCTGAACCAGTACGTATCAGATGCATTATGAGATCTGGATACAAGATGGTGGCCATTCTTCCTAGTGAAAGCTGCTCACCTGGCACATATGCCAAAACATTTTTTTCTTAGAGGTCTTCTCCACTGCCCCTGCCCTCCTGCTTGGCCCATAGTTTTCACATTAGGATAATGTAATGAAAAAAAAACAGTGGTTTGCTGGTTTCCCAGGCTCTGGGAAAGTTTTACATTATTGCTATTGAAGAACCACTTATTTAGTCCAAGGGTTTACTTACTCTTTCCACCAACACTTTGAAGGTTTAATGAGTGTGTTCAATAATAGATGCAAAATTACATTGTTTGTGTGGTATCATTTTAAGCACATTGTGTTTGTCTATACTTATGACTTAAATGAAGACTGGATCACATTTTATGACCAAATCATGTAGAAAACCAGGCAATTCCAAATGGTTCACTTTCTTTTCCTGCTACTGTATATAAAACAAGAACAGAAGCAAACAAGAGAAGATGGTGTGTGGAGAGAAGAAGAGTTTACCTGCACCCGTCTGGCAACTTCCTATCAAAGGAGGTGCTTCGTGGAATAGCTGCCTGGTGCTGTTGGAGGATCTGCTGGCACTGCAGACGATCGGGGCCCTGCGTGGGCGAGCCTCGGGACAGAGGTGGTCCAGCAGTGGTTGGCACTCGATGCCAGGTGGTGTTTCTCCTGAAGGGTGTCTTGTACTCACAGGGTGTACCCTCACTGTCGACCTTGTACTCCACCATGGGTATACGGTAGAGCTCGGAGCAGCCCCTGGGGGGAGAGGGAAGGAAAGGTTACAGATCAGCAATGAGCCTGGGGTGAACAACCTAGTTCTACGACAGGTATCCCTTATGATAACAGCATCTCAGTTCCACTCTTAATCTGAGGAGAACCTTACAAGTGTCTTTCTGAAAAGTGCCAGCAATAACAATAGGGAATAAACAGTAGATTAATAATGGTGCAACATCCCATTATTCCACTATTAATACTTCTGCACCAAATATACATCTACAGTTGGTTTAAAAACAATTACAATTCATTATTAATGATGCAACAGATCATAAGAATAAAAATGTAATAACCCAAATTACTTTCATTATTGGTCATTGCATGATTACTGCATCAAAAAATAAATCCATAATGGCTATTATTATCCATCCATTTTCCTCCACTTATCCGGAACTGGGTCGCAGGGTCAGCAGTCTAAGATGCCCAGACTTCCCTCTCTCCAGACACTTCCTCCAGCTCCTCCTGCTACTGTATTACAAGGCTAGTGCATTTTTAGTTGTTGTAGTACTTTATACTGTACAACACTGCTGATACTGATGTCCTCAGCAAAAGGTGGAGGGGAGAGAAGTGTTCATCATTTGTGTTACCATGACTACACTAATGTTTTTAGAAATACCAGAGGCAGACATCCAGTAGATAAGCAGTAAACACACACACATAGACACACTCAGCGTGCACAGGCACATCAGAGATGCTCAGAAGACAGTGGAAACCACTTTCATAATAATATTTTAAGAGATGAAAATCTCAGCCTGCTACTTGATATGGGTCTCCCCTGAGTAGCTCTACAAAGGAGGCTTCTCCCTCCTGCTCCATCCCATTACTGCTAACAACACTGAAGATCTCTGGGATGGACAAGGCCTGTGATACCATTTCATGCAACATTAACCCTTGGAGCTGGGGCAGAGGCTTGGTGTGTATGTTTGAAAGGACAGGGGGTTTACAGGGTGGTGGGTCAGGGTTAAACAGCCTTGGTGCTGTGCCAGCACACCCAAAGCGTCTCAAGCATGACCCTAATGATTACAATGCCTGGTCCGTTTTGCAGAATCCACTTCGGGGGTGGAAAGCTGTGTATACTTTGCTGCGGTCATACATGTACACACAGCAGGGTTTGAGGATGCGCTGGCTGATTGCAAAGACTGCGACAGAGGGGGGGCGAATAATCCCAGAAAGACCCTTTCATCAAACTGGGCCATGGGTGGATGGGCTGTTTACAGCAGGCCAACCACTGGAGCTGTGGGAGTCATAAGATCTAACTAGAAGATGATCGTTTGTTTCCTCCTCCTCCTCCAACATTTCTCTCACATCTGGGCAATCTCACAGCCAAGCCGGTCTCATTCATGATGTAGGATTATCAAGGCATTCGCTATGTCCTTCACATCTCACAGTTAACATACTGCACCAATCTATTTACAGTATGTTTGTATATCAGTAGTTTGCCACATCAAAAGATCAGAGATGTCTGCAAGTTTAACAAAAAAACATTTTTTTTTTTTAACTCTGATGCTACTGTGTATGTGTGTGTGTGTGTGTGCGTGTGTGTGTGTGTGTGTGTCAGGAGCCCAATAATTAGACTTAACACATAAAATCATTATTCCATTACTTTTATTGTGTAACCCAGGGTCTTTCAATCACGTTTTGTTCATGTCAGAAGAAAAAGGATGTTAATGTGAGTGTTAAATCCTCCAGACTGTTGGTCAATTGCTTTTTTAACAGGGGCTGCTAACCCACTTATTACCCTGATTAACTGTGTGTGTGGTCAAGCCAGGCTGCCACACATCATTACTCACTGAATAGGCTGAAACTCAGATAACAGCTTGTCAACAGGGAAGGTCTCATCTGATCAAGACAAAGAACAGACAAGGTAAATTTCTCTTATGATTCTAATATTCTCCCTCAGCGCCCCACAAGCTTAGCTAGCTGGAAGCGGAAATATCCATCGTACTGCCCTAATGTAGGTGGAATGTAATTCTTGTTTGTACTGTATAGGAGGAACTGGATTCTCTGTGAATCAAGCATGGAGAAACAGCAGGAAACCGGTGTTTGGTCAACACTTAAACCTCAGCTGGAGGCTGGCGATTGAGGAAAGGTGGTCAGCCATATCCAGGCAGCCATAAGGAGAGGAGGAAGCCAGGGACTGGTGAGAAATAATACTGTCTGCTTTCTCTTGACTCCACCAATAACTGGTACTGCCCTCCTCCAGCTTCATGTGAGGGGCTATAAATTATACCACAATGTACTACATAAGCTCCTACAACCTCAAACCAATATCCAGACAACTAGAAATACAGCTACATGTGACATACTGGAGGAAAATAGTAGGTTTGGTGCAGTTAGTGGCCTGTGAACATTTAGCTCCTTCAGTCACTGCCTCTTAATGAATTATAATAGATCAGTGTGCCATCAGGACCTCAGAGAGCTGTCACTCTAATTACATTGGCAGAGAGTGAGGGACAAGCTAATCCATTCCCACAGTCAGAGTCCATGTCACAGCAAAGAGTCACAGAGGTTGTAACCTCCACCACCTCTTTGCAGACCATTGTCAAGGGTTCATTAATTAAGGTGTGCTCAGAAAGGTGTAAAGGTTTGCAACAAGAAAGAAAGAAATGTTTCGGTGGTTCCTTTGCAAACTGGTCCAAAAGAAAAGAGCGTCTCCTGTGAAGAATATGATGGGATTAAGCTGAGCGAATTGTGATGCAGGTTTCTTGGGTTTTGGTTTAGCGGCGCTCCCTTTCACAGGGCGTCGGGCATGGGAAGTGAGAAATCTGGCTTAACTTCAGTCCAGATGAAAATCCATGATAACTAGTGTGATGATACTTCAAAGGAAAGGTCACAAGTGGCCATTTGAATTTCACAGACAAGACTGATTTACCAGCAGGGGTCTGTTGCAGGGCGAATCAACTCAAACTCAGGTTATGCACCATCTCAAACACAAATCTTTGTGAATTCCCAGTATGTTCTAATAAGAAACATAAGAGGGTGATACTCCAAAAATAGAAGTTGCTTTATCTTTGTCTTTCTGTTACTGTGCGTGTCTTGCTATAATCATCTATTTTAGCCAATATTGTACTGATCCTTTTGTTTACTCCTACATCTCTGATGACTATATACCAAAACATACAATCACTGCTGGGCTCTGTACATTGTATTCCTGTTTCAGTGAGCTAAGCCTTTTCAGCTTTCTCTTATTAGTTTGATCCAAGGGTAACATATTGAATTTGTTTAAAGCTGTTCAGAGTGATGATGGAAAAGCGTCTAGCATTGTACTGAGTTAAAACCACATCCTGCCAGTGTAAATAAATGCAGTACTAGGTAAGACTAATATCAGAGCCATATCTCCTCTGGCTTTAATCCGAGCAGGGTAAAACCGCCTAAGGCATAAATAGCTCCAGGAGGTTTGCCACAAAACAATGATAAACAGCAGTCTAAAGGCTCCTTTCTCTTCAAAAGAATTTCATTCAGCAGAACCATAGCAGCCAGATGACCCCAGTGAATCTGGAGGAATCACAACATTAATAAGGCTAAATAACTATGTGACAATTTAAAAACAGTACAGCAGAAACTCACTCCTTCAAGCCTCTACATGTGCTTATGAAAACATTTTTCATTGTCACAGTAGCGGTGTGGAGCCTGGGTACATTGTCTGGAGGTCATGAGACTCTTGTTCATTGTTGTTAGACTAAGCCCCATCTCTCTGGCCACGGGGGACTGGCTGGGGCATTCAGGCCTCTGTTGAATTCCTTTCCTTTGACATAATAGTGGAGAAACTGGAGTACTTATTGTTGACTGCAACACTTTAGCAACTCAAAGAAGCAGCAGTGAAAAGAGCTGAGGGCCCTCAGAATTCTTCACCTGACCTCTCACCTCTCGATTTGTTGGAGCCTTTGGAGAAAATTCACAGGACCAGAGATGAAGCTTTTCTGTTCTCATGGGACAACAATGTGCGTTTCCTTAAGATGGAGAAATCTCCCAGGCGAGCTCAACAGCATTAACCAGTATGGTCCTCTACTGTAATACCATTAATCTGCCAGATGCATCTGTTAACAAACACCAGTGTGCGATGCATCATACAGCATGATATATATATAATGATAGTACATTTAAGCACAATGCTATGTAGCATGTGTGTTTTTAAAACCACCATTTAGTGGCTTTGTCAAGTATCAGGCTTCAGCAGTACCACTCAGACCAGCCAGCACTACTCTACTTTACTATATCTGACAACCTGTAGCCAACTCCAGGAAGCCAGAGATGCGTTTGTCTATGCAGAAGCAGTTTTGGAAGATGTTTGTTTTGTCTGCTTCCCTGAACTGCGATTATGACTGTATCATCATGTATCATCACAGATCTTGGTAAGAGGATTAGACGATGGTTCTGCCAGAGAGGCTGCTGTGTTGGAATAACAGACGAGGGATGTCAGACCACCATCTGGGGGAGCAAATATGTTACTCCTCTGGTGCCAGACCAGAACGCAGGGGTGAAATGCAATTAAACACACAATGTCTATGCAGTCTTTAACATAATGACACATATATAAACACAGCTGTTTAATAATGTATTCATTCAGAATATTTAGCAAGGCTGCCACTAATACAGTTTTCCAAAATTATACATTTACTTTACAGATTAAATCTGACATCGCTCATCCACCAGAAGTTAATCAAAATATAGTACTTCAGCCACCAACACAACTGCTTGTCTGTTTAGAAATGTGCTGAGGTTTAACGAATATGTACAAAGAATAATTGTTCTCATGCCCTAATTTTTTAATTTTAATGATTAGCTAACAACATTAGCATTACCTGCAGCATCATAAACAGAAAATGGGACAAAGTGAAAATTTTCTCTCTGCACACTGTCAGATCATTCCGCTGTGGTTAACTGTGAGAAAGTGTGAACAGCATTTGGTGGTACACAAATCTGTCAGCCTAAAGCACAAGTAAAACAAAGATGTCACAAACTGTGAGCGAGAAAGAGTGATGGATATTATTTCACAGGACTGTCTGTGTCTCACAGGCAAAACAAGCAGATGTGCTTTCAGAACAAGCATTTTACAACCTTCAGCTCTTCCCATCACAAAACACGTGTGAAGTGTGCTTTTCTCTTTTTATTACAGGAGCCGATGGAGTCTCCTCACGGGTGTGTGTCCCTAAAAAGCCAACCACTCCCATCCTAATTGCTGAATAAAACATCGGGTGAGGTTAGAAAAAAAAACTGTCAGACAATGGCAGCAAGAGTTGAGCCATTAATCAAAATGCTCCTCTCATCATCATTAGTGAGAAGCACTGACTGTCCGTGTCTGTGACTCTACCGCGCTGCTGGAGTTTTCTCTAGCAACAAAGCCATATCCATACAGAGAGCCTCCTCTCAGGAGAAATCAGCAAAGAACAACATCAACCCTGGTGCAAGAAAAACACTAGGTAAGCATTTCTTTATGCTAATCATCTTAAACCTGAGAGAAAATGTCAAGCTAATTTACCCCAGCTGCATGGAATAATGAGAAGGAGAAATAACTCTTCTGTTAAGACTTCATACATTTTTGAGGGGCACCTGCTTCTCTGTCTCACTAACCACAGTACAACAGCCCAAATTCACATACAAGGGAAAGTCTGCATCTGTTAAGTAAGCATCTTTTGCTCTCACAAGCGCAAATGTGAGGAGATACCTTCGTGGGGTTCCGTCTTCATGAGGCTGGATTATAACTACTTTCACGGTGACGGATGTGCGCAGGAGGTCAATCATCTGCTCATGAGTGAGAGTAGCCACAGCCACCTTGCAGATCTCCACCAGTCGGCTGCCTTGTCTGAGCCCTGCCTTCCAAGCAAACCCAAAGGGCTCCACGTCGGCCACGATGCCCTCGAAGTTGACGTGGAAACCGAGTTGTCCGAGGCCATTTCGGCGCAGAGTCATCTCTGATGTCTCACAGCCTCTGGTGACGATCTGGAGCCATAATAAAATCAATTTGGTCATTATTGAAATTCATTTACATCACTTTTCTCTTGATTGCAGTGATCCAGTGACATAAAGACAGCAGGACTTTAGGACACTAGTAGAAAACAAAGCAAAATGCACAATCACACAGAAAACCAACAGAAAGCATGAGATGGACAGGGAAAGACTGGAAGTTGAGTAACAGTTTTCTAAGCTAATACAGTATATTCCAGCAGTAATTGTCAATAGATGTGTGTGGGTTGTACTAAACAAGAAACACACATACACATGATAAAAGAAAAATTCTATTAGATCATCTGAAGCAGAGTCTGTCCTCGGGCAGAAGTACATGTGCAAGTTAGTTTGGCTAATTCAAAGAACCCTTCAAAATGGAAGTTAATAAGAGGGATACATCACAGAGCTAAATGGTTCAGCCCAGGAACTGCAAACAAACAGCTAAAAACACACATGCACTGCACACTCAAATACACTCCTGTCTCTATGCAATGCACACTCAAATACACTCCTGTCTCTATGGACACTACCTGCAGTAGCTGTGTGGGTGCTGCATGGGGAATTAAGATCTAATTGGCCCCTGATACATGGACTTCTTCATAGAGCTGAGTCCGTTAGAGTAAATGACTAGGAAGGCCTCTGAATACAACATTTACACGCAAACACATAATATTCATCAGTTGACAGCCGACCACACTGACAGTCATTTCTTGCTTCATGAAACTTTTTTTGGTCTAATTTTGTGCTTGCATGCAAATGAAGCTGCTCACTTTGTTCAGCTGTGGCCTTGTCTCAACTTTTGCTTTAATTTTAATTATTTCGGATCAGGTGAAGTTCAGGCAATCCTCTTGCCTTACCAGCAACAGTTAACACACTAACACCAACATCAGGAAAGGTGAAAAAATGCAACTCTAGCATATCTATTTTCACCCGTGAGTGGGCTTGTATATATGGTACACTGTTGTGTATGTGCAGCGTAGGACTGGACAGTTTCCTATAAGTTTTCTTGTGACAACCACTGGAACGAAAAATCTCACACTACATCCAGAGAGCTTTAATCACCCATCAGATTAGTCTTGGTTCAGTTGTGGGTGACTGCTTCCATTTGCCTCAGAGTGGCAGCTGGCTTCTGGGGCACATTAACTCCAACTATGGCCTGTCAACACTCCATCAGATTCTCACACTGGCAGAAATTCTACCCCGCTGTGTGAGAGGGAACCTGAGACAGCCATGATGGACCATCATGCATTGACTGAGTCCTCATAATAAGATACAACTCTAAAACTTTATTAATTTATGAAAGCGCACAAGCTTACACTTCAATAAATACAAAGCCAGAAATGTAGTTTTCAAAGAGAGATAAAACTAGAAGAGCGCTGGGTGAGATGGCACAAATTAAACAATTATTCTGCATAAAACATCAATGGCAAAAGACACCAAACATATGAAGTCCAAAAGCGCTTTGGGGGCAAAGTGTGGAAGTAAATTGCTCAGAAATGAGGAATACACTGACCTGGGAAATACATCAGGCCTAAGTAATAGCTTTCTCATCATGGCCCTTTATTCAGTCCAGCCAGAAAAGGGATGTGTCCAGGTTGTCCTCTGAATGGCCCAAATCCATAATGGCTGAATCTAACAGGCTGCTTGTTATCTAATAGGAGTGATTTGTGGCCTGGAAATTTACTTTGATAAGGACAGTAACAAGATGTCTGCCAGCAAGTGTGTGTGTGTCCTGTTGACCAAAGTGTGTCCGCATAGTGTAACCATGGGCTCTAATGACTGTGATATAAAATTACAACCCTTCTCTTAAGAAACACAGTGTCAGCCTAAAATTTGTTGTCACCTAGGTTTGCTGGCAAGGATCCTCAGTGAGAGACACTGATGACATTGTCTGCAGTAGCATGTTACAGACAAGACAAAACCTTGACCATAAGGTCAGTCTGGTAAATCTAAGGCCACGTGTTTCCCCTGGACTGTTTGCGTGTGATTGTCATTGGAGTTGATAAGGATATTCAAGACACTGGGTCATCAGTTAACCATAAACCAAAAAGAAAAATGTCACCTGGAGCTTTTCTTTTCATTTTATTGACTAAACTATTGATTTTGATTAATAAACAGTGATTAATCCATAAAAGCAATTGTTTGTTGTAACCCAAGATGTGAAACCTGCTAATAATTTTCTGAATTAACTGATTTATTGTACAAAACAATTAATGTCAGAAAATTGTGAAAAGGTGCCGAATTCAAAGTGGTTATGTCAAAAACCATGATATTCCGTTCATCATATTCAACAACAAAGTTGAACATTTTTGCTTTGTTAAATAACTCGCGAATATTTTGAGCATCAACTAATCATTTGAATAAAATTTTTGACATGAAACAAATCAGTGACTTGACTAATTGATTATTCGGTACTGTGTAGTATAGGGGATGTGAAGGTACGTCACGCTGTGTTGAATGCTGGGACGGGGGCGCCATTCTTGGAGGTACACACCAGATTTACCTGCATACATTCTTGTTTTGTTTTAGCTCTGATTTTACTGACTGTGGTAGTTCAGGATGGACAACCTTAGCTGACTGTAGCTGACTCAGAGTGGACCTGGAGCTCCTGCTGGTGAGAGAGACAGACTGAACAATCACTCTACACTCTCATCTCAGCTCTCTATTCAGGAGATAACACTAGCTAGTATCTATTGACAGATAACACAAACACTGCAGATGAATTTCTGTCCTTTCTGTGCTCAAACTGAACACTAAAGTGGATGTTTGGATGTAGTTGAAGCATCTGCTACTGTATGTAGCTCTAGCATTGTTTAAATGAACTTGTGTTATGTATATACTGTATCTGTGATTGATAATGAGCATGATGCATGAACATCATTTAACCAAAATTCAACATGGCGTGATGTCAACTTCACATTCAAATCTTCAGTTTTATTAGGATTTAAAGGTAATAAACTGCACACACACTGTATACAAAAAGCTGTTCTAAAGCATGCAACATTATTATAGTTTCTCACTGTGCTTCACTACTCTGCCTCTGCCTCTCATTTAAATCCTCACTGTGCTCCACTACTCTGCCTCTGCCTCTCATTTAAAATCTAAAACACAAACTGTGAATTGCTGTTATCTGCAGCCCTGCTGATGCATGCATATGGTACATAAATAAGTGCACAAAAGCTGAACACATGGCCACCCAGCTCAGCAACACCTTGGAGAGCAGGACGATATCGCAAAGCTTTTACTGTGCTCTCACACTGGGCTGTGTTACAGTGGGCAATCTGTTCACTCGGGTTCACATTACATCACAGGTCTGGCAGCCTGTAAATCGCTCCAGTGAAACATGATTCAAGTCGACCTCTGGGACGTTTAGGAAAACACAGACACCCTTGGGAAAAAGTAGTCGATGCTCACATGTGCCTACTGCCGCTGCTGCACGGTCTCTCACAAATAAACGCCAACCTATTAATACATATTCTGAGATTCTCCTCTACAATATGCCTCATAAATCCCATGGGTAAGTGGACAGTAAATGTGAATGGAGATTTGCATAGAGAATGAGGAAGTGATGCCCTTTGGCTAATCACACATGCTAATATATCCTGCTCTGTCCCTTCTTATGATAAGTGGAGTAGACACTGAATGACATCTGTGTCCTTTTAAGATGAATTATGCTAAATACTTCTTCAAGATCTTGTACTTTTTTTTAAGGTTGGGATATGCAGAATCTTTGTGCCCAAGTTACTGACTGTACTGTGAAGCTCTTCTCAAAATAACACACTGCAAAAGGTAACAATAAAAAAGTTGTAATTATCACAGCTCATCTTAATCCTCAGAAGATTGCTGCTCAAACATTTAGCAGGAAACATTGTTTCTCTCATGTTGTTGGCTGAACCAGGCGGAGGACAATGTGTGGGCACTGCAGGCCCACACATTGGTCACGCACAGCTCAGGTTTGGATTTGGCATTCAACCGACTTTTTTTAACAAACAAAGTGCTACCTTGCTTATCAGGCAAGTGTTGCCTGATAAGAAGTTCAGTAAACAGATCAGGAAAACTAGACACAGAATGACAACATCTGGACTGAAGAACCAGATGTTTTTGACCTTTTTTTCCTCAGCTTCAAGATTACCTAGCTGCAGAGCTGAACAACTGACTGAAGCAGAACTACAGAATGGGGATGAGAGGACTTCGACTAAGTGGGTAACTCTCAACAGGAGTGAAGTAGTCTGAGGCCAAGTGTCCTCTATTCTTAGTCTGTCAGACCCAAAAAAGGTGTTTGTGCTTTCTCTCCTCCCCCTTAAAACTGGGTTGGCATCCTGTTTAAGCTGCCTCCTTCAGTACCTGCATCCCAGACATCCACCAAATACAAGAATAGGCCAAAATCACATCATCACTAACCTTTCTATTAAATGACCTGCCCGTCGCAGTTAGTGGCTCTAGCTTTGGTTTGATTAATGAAAATGCTTTAACCTTTCATAATGGTTTATCCTGATCAAGACATCTGTACCTCAACAGTCGACTATATACCTCTGCTGATTCTGTGCAATGAGGCAAAGAAAGCTAACAAGACATCTGTAATCCTCTCTGGACTCTGCTGATTTCACCTCTCCCTTTACAACCCAGAGAGGATCAGGTGGACACGAGCACACATTCTAAAAAACAAGTGCATTTTGGATTATTTCTGTAAGCCATACTTTTACAAGGTTGTAGAAAAGGGCAGAGAAAGGTACACAAGTAGAGTAAAGTAAAGTAGCAGAAGTCTGGTATAGAGTTGAAACATGCGAGACTTGACAGCATGAATACAGGTTAAGGAAACAATGGTTCTGCTGACCTACTGATGAAAATGAAATAACACGGTTTGGAGTAAGCACTAAAGCTACTATGGCTAAAGCAAAATGTGCAGAATGTATTCCACCGTAAAGAGACGACAACAACCTCCAAAGCAAAATGCCTCTCTGCACTATTTAAAATAGTGTAAAGGCAGCCATTTTCTTTCACATGCCATGCATCTTATATGTGAAACAGAGTCATAATGGATTTACTGGGTAAATCTGCTGACAGACTCTGTTTCATGGGAATATTTTTTAGGCAAAGAAGATCTTTATCTTCCTCATTATTAGATACTGGAACTAAATCAGTGGCCATCAAAGCAGTAGCAAGGAAATGTAACAATCATCCTACAGAATGGAAAAGTCCAGTACTGGGCCAAGGATAACACCTTTCACAAACTGCATACAGACCTGTAGGACAGAGGGACCTATTACAGTGACCAGTGATGGCAAAGACCTGACATCTTACAGGCCATCCAAGATGCCACTCACCCAAACTGTCTGGCTGTTAGTCATATTAGTGAAAAGATTATCAAGCCAACAACTGTGCTGCCCCAGCAAGGTAGCGCAAACAGAGAACCAAGCAAATGCTCTCGTCATTTCCAAAAGAACGCCCAATCTGAGTAACAGGAGATGATGAATGCAGCATTCCTAGGGATATAGAGCCTAGATGATTTTTATATACAGTACATACAGTAGACAGTGAATTGAAAATGTAAAGCTGTCCTAGCTTTTCTTTCCTAGTGAACAAAAGCTGCCCTGTGGCTCAGTGAGCAAATGTAAAATGTCTGGGCACGGCTGTATATTAGCGCCAACCTGGGCTTCACCTTGGCTAATCTGTTAAAACAGTTTTGACACACCACTTGTATGGTGACTTAATTGTTTTTACTGTAATATGCTCATTATATTAAAAATAACCTGTGTGTCAAATTATGATGAAACTCAATTAACCGCACACAGTGCAAACAGAATGAATTCCTCCCTCTGTGAGTGGGGTGCAATATTTTCTTCCGTTCTCTGAAATCTCTATGTATGGTATGATTTGGCACTGATACTGAAGACAGGCCATAAAGTATGCTACAAAGGATCAGATGATCTCCCCTACAGTCTAATCCAGCAGACATTAAGGCTTCAAAAATGAGATTATTACAGTCCTAAGGGTTCTTACCTCCAGTCTTTGCACCATCTCCCTGATGTCTTCACCGCAGCTGTCATGGGCAGACAACATTATACACTCCCCGCGCTCATAGAAGATCTTAATGCTCATAATCCCTGAGGTCCATCCAATGACATCACGGCACGAACAGTTGAAGACCACATTTTTTGATTCTTCCTCAATGAGCACGATAAACTCATTGGATATGCCAAGCAAGCAGTCCACGTCAGCTGACTGACCAAAGTCCCGGGCACAGACGCTCCAGGTGATGGCCCCCACACTGAACAGATGTGCGTCCTTCCTGGGTTTTACCTTCTCCTTCTTCTTGGCTCCGAGGGTAATGAAGCTGAATTTGACAGCAGAGTCAACAGTGGCAGTGCTAACAAAGTTCTCCGCCAGGTCCTTCAGGTACTCCTGCCGCGTACGGGTTGCCATGGCTCGGAACTTCTCTGACTTGTGTGCGGCGTTTTCTCCGTTGATGACCTTGGCAAGCAGGAAGTCCCTGAAAACCGCTGACTTTGGGAAAGTTACAGACTTTGGAATAGGGGGTCCGAATGGAGGCACGTCTTTAGATCTGGACACAGCCACACTGGAAAACACAATGGAATCATTAACTCAAATGTCATGGTAACGGTTAAAAAAAAGTGAGTATTGAACTATATATAATGAGCAGCCATTTGAAGAGTGTTGAAATTATATGGCTTTCAGGGAAATGATTTCTGGTGGAAAGATGGGGAGGAGCTTAGACTAATCTTGCTCTGTTCAGCAAATGCTATATTATTAACAAAAGTTGTCTCGACTTCAGAAACACGTCAGGAGAGACTCGTAAGTCATAATTTAAAGGTGTCTCTGAAGATAATAACCATATCATCAGTGAACAGATCAAAAGAGCCTTATGATTCCTGCACATTACTATGCAGTCATGACAGAAACCACAGAAAGCACTTAGCAGGTTATTATTATTACTCTCTCAAATTAAGTGCCTTTAAAAGTTCATGAAGAGCAATTTGCCATGATGACATTCATGAAAAGCATATCACACACACACACAAAAAAAACATATAAAGCCTGGGGATTTGTTGGGTTTTCCCTATGTAATAATATTGATAACAGTAAGGTCTAGACCTTACTTTGTAAAGTGTCCTGATTTGGTGCTATACAAATAAAATTTGATTTGATTTGAATTTGATTCCCTTAACTGTCGTAAGGATATTTGTTTGCTTCTTATTCAATTCTGGAGCACTCTAGTATTTGGTGATTTGACTCACTGCCACCAAATTCAGATGTTGCATTTTTGCCTTCTCCTGCTTTCTTTGCTATTTTTTAAATCAGATTAGAGAGAGCCTTGCAGCCATGGCACATGGTTGTTCTAGTTACCTGTAGCAGACGTTATCAGTGCAGGGGTTGTGGACTTTGACGATGACAAACACATGTTGGAAATGAGAGCGGATGTTTTTTGGAGTGAAAGGAAGGGCCCCGGGCTCCTGGAATACTATGGTTACGATATCATTACCGATATGCCTCTTCCTTAACAGCTACAAAGAGAGAGAGAAATGAAGTCAAGTACAAGGAGGCAGGTATTTAATAAATGATGGACATAGTTCAATACATAGTTCAGGAGTACAGGGATTAAACACACATTTATTCTTAAAGATTCAAACTAGAGCAGAAAAAAGCTAAAGCAAGACTACACAAGTTCTTTCTGAATACAAAGCGCTGTATCAGTAAAGTATAAGTGTCGCTGAATACAAAGCGCTGTATCAGTAAAGTATCTGTGTCATTTTTGAGAAAAAAATCTGCAAGATGACACCACTTGTGCAGCTTCCTTCTCCCTGGTTGGAAAGCATTCAAGTATCTCCATCACAAACAGAATGTACTGTCTGTGGCATCTGTACCGGCACCGCAAGCTGGAAACCAAGTTAGCTTGCAGGTTTATTCACTGACAGAATCATTGCTCCATGTTTAGATCCTGAAAGATTCTGTGCAAAATCAGGATAAATTGCTTTTTGGGGAAAAGAGATACATTCATCTAACCCAATTTAGGCTTTTTGGTGTGAAGCGAACATATTCCCCAAACTCAATTTAGCTGGTTTGTATTGCTGCATTGTGCACATAGTTAACCTCATTCTCTGGCTGGTAGGAGGTTGTCAGGGAGGGTCAGCAAGACCCAAAACAAGCAGGATTAGAGGGTATAGAGGTGAATTGGGAAGGATGACGGGATGAGTGGGTCTGCTGGAAGATTACCACCAGGGATTAAATTAAACTACTCCACTCCATAAAATTCAACTGAGATGGTGCAGAAAAGACAAGAGAAAAAAAACTCCAAATCCTGCCAATCAAAAGCACATGGCAGATTAAGTCTCTGCGGTATTTCACTGTGGATACTCCTCGGTTCAATGCCCTCCCTCACCACCTCCATCACTGTTAACATCTCTGCAGGGTTGTACCCAGACGGTTTATTCTGGGCTCAAGAAGTACTTCCACACGAGCAGTGCAGAGACTGATATGAACCTACATCATCATAGCTTTATCAGGCCATCGCTTGCTGGTCCACCACTATGTCCACTTAATTCCACATGTTTGTGCAGATAGACACAGAGGCCCATTTAATACCACTTCATGTCAAGCCTCAGGGGATGCATTCATTAAAATCCTACTATGGGGTACTGTTACCATGGCAATGCTTATGCTTTCAGCTGATAGGCCATTGCTGTGGCAAAATGAGCCTCTGGGTAAGATTGAAAAGAGTCGGGAATCGGGATTGTAGACATCCTTAAAGGAAGCTGCTCAGGGACTTGTTACCATCAATAGACACTGGATCACCACACAGAAAAACAAACATTGTGGTCAGCTGGAAGGGAGAGCGTGTGGTGTGTGTAGTGTTTTTGGAGCATTTTTGTTATATTGCGTTATTTTGTAAAGCATTTTGGAGAATTGTTTGTGTTTTTAAATGTGTTATATAAATACATCTACACTGACACATACTGACCTGCTGTCGGTTGTTTGGTGTGTAGGGGAGCATGGTGGACACATGAAACATCAACTCGTAGTCCTTATAGGTGGTGTAGAGAGAGTGTGTGCCTGTGGAGTCGGCTGTAATACAGGACAGGGCAGTCAAGTACTCAGATCCTCATTACAAAAGGCCATTGTATTAGATAAGCTGATGATTTAATCAAATAGAAAGCAAGACTCAAGATACATAGGCTTAAAAAAACATAGCCATCTAAATAGCTTGATACACTATATGAAACAGAGCTGAGCATCTGCACTCAGCAGGATTAGAAGTGTGTGGGCTTGCACTTAGTGAATGTTTAGTTTGATACATGTAATATGTTTTTTTTGTCTTACTCTTGTTATCCAGCTGAGCTCTGTACTTGGTGAAGCCTTTAAGGCGCACCCTCTGGCCGAGCAGATCCAAAAACTCATCTAGTGCTGGTCCAGCGCTCTCGTTGTTGTACATCTCTTCTTCTGTGCTCTGGCCTGCCTTGCAGTAAAGCACTCCCACCTTGTGCTGGAAGCTCAGCTGGAATTAGGAACACACACAGGCACCCAGTGAGTGGCTGATATGCATCACATACCACGCTCATACATACTGCACATTAAACACTCAAAGCATGTGAGTGCCCACTTTCCATCATGTCACAGCTAATACAAAGGCCTTCATAGCCCTTCTAGGAGAGAACTGAAACCCCCTTGTGAGAAGCCAGGTCATGTGAGCAGAGCATAAATCAAGCCAAGCTAATAGCTGATACTTAAGAGCAGCTGTGGAACAGTGTGGGAGTGAATTACATACATATAGTAGGGTGGCTTTGGTTTATGGTAAAAGACTCTACAAGCTGCCAGCAACCACATTTTAGTCATTTACAAAAAAAAAAAAGAAAAGAAAAACAAAGTTACACGTACAGTATGTATGGTTAAGTCATCACTTTAGCTGTGAAATGCTAGTTAAAGGCACTGAATGGCAACAACATGGGTCTCCTCATCACCCCCGCTAAAATTCTTTTGATTCGGTCATTGTTCAGCAAAGACAGATTTGTCTTATTCACAAGTGTCAGGTTTCCAGTGTAAGCAGAAATATACAGAAATGAAAGGTTTGATAAGAACTTGTCTCACAGAGATAGAAAGAACTAAAATATCCCAAGTGATTCTTCTTGCACGGTGCGTGAGAGCCCTCTCTACCAACATGAATCTTTTATGCCTTACAGCTCTCTGATGTCGGCCATGAAAGAGCGTCAAAGGGAGAAAAGAGATGAAAAAGTAGCCCCCACGTTTGGCACCTGTTGCCCAATAGTCACAGCTGGGCACAGCACCTTGATGTTGCCCCAGGGTCAATGTATCAATATGGCAAGACGAAAAGGTTTCTCTGAATGTGAAGCCAACGAATGATCTATATACTGAAACAAATTGGAATTGTCTTTTTCCTCGATTACAGGTTATCTCTTCCCGGTGTGCTCCTAAGACTGTTGTCATGGTGACTTCCTCTATCAGGCAGTCTGCTTTGCACTAAAGCTCCTGCGGTGACAGAAAGCTATTATACCATCAAGCCCAGTGGAAATGGCATGATGTGCAATGGTGTGGCCTTCTACCTTTTTTATCCACCATTATATGGGCTCGCTTAGCCTCCTGCTCCTTTTAACAGACTGGCTGATGGAAAGCACAATCACATTGCCCTTTGGTGAGAATTTGTCACTGCCGCAGGAGCGCAAACATGTCAGGACATATATACAGATGAGCACTGCTCCTGAGGTGACGCTCAGTGTGTAACTGCCATTAGCGCCTGTTTTTGGTGGCATCAGGTAGAGCAGCCACTAAAAAAATATGTAATTCAGCATCATTATCTCTTTTCCTATATCTATTTCCCCAGTGTCTCTCAAGCTGACTTTCTAGTGCTGGGAGGTGCTGAAAACAGTGCCTCTCTCCTTTTTGTTACAATCCCCACCCCACCCTAAAAGACATGCAAAGATGGAAAGAAACTTAATGAGTAGAGAGAAAAACGAGGACACCATTCCCCCTGGAGAATGCACCTGAGGGAAAAAGAAGTGGCCTAACACAACATCCCTGTGACATCTGCCTGCACTAGAGTTTCCCTTTGGAACAAAAATTCTGAATATGGCTCTCCACAACCTGGTTACCATCATCATGCATCATTACACAAACATGTATAGCTGTTTTTGGACATTACTCTACATGGCTACTGCCAGAACATCTAAATATGGGAATGGGAAGCGGGAAATAAGCAAGGAGCCTACATCATTTCCCCGGGTTAATCCTCAAGATACTTGAGAGAGGACTGATTTACATAAGAGAGGTGATTTTTGCACTGCAGTTAGAGCCTCAATAGGTGGCAGATTACTCTCCTGAACTTGAGGAACACACGTCACTTAAACATGATTTATACTTCCGAGTTAAGGTGGTGCTGTGGGAGTGATTTGTGATTCTGCGAAGGCTTTACCTGTCTGACATGTTTTGCTGCACTGCTGCAAAACCAGAAAAGCAGTTTTTGAGTATTTGAGAAATGTCCTGCACACTCACTTTGTTATTACACAGAGCACTGCAATGAAAATGGCTGTCCAGATTAGGAAGAAGACAATTTGTTTAGCATTACTGAGAAGGATAGATATGCAGCCTCTCTCTGATCTCCTTGATGTTGCCTTTACTACCAGGGTAGCCTGTACCTGGGCCAGAGCTTTCATTTTACTGTCAAGAAATGAAAGCAGAAAATGACATGTGCAATTTAGAAACTGGTGCAGATCACAGTGTTTTGTTAAACAACAATTCTATTATGTTCTAGATTTTTGTCTTTACATGAAAAAAAAAACAGATGCACTTTTTGCTTTAATGTCTTTCTTTAAAAAAAAAAAAGAAGTATAGTTTGTGATTTCCATCACCTAAAAATCACATCACACATCTAATTGGCTGCCATCTGAGATCATCTGTGCACAGTCAACTCACTGGAATCTACAACGCAATCTAAAGTGCATTCACATGTGCTCTGTTCTCTTCTTACATCCAGGGCCATTACAGCACAGCCTACCACACCACTGTCAGGAACATTCATTCTGCAGAAGGTTGGTTGTCTTGCTCTAGGACACTTTTCCTCACCAGACATAGTTTCTGTTCACAGTAAAAAGGAACCCTTTCATACACACACACACAAACACAAAAATAAAGGGCTAGATAAAACATTCTATATGTGGGAGAAGAAAACGATCCATTCAAAACTAACAAAAACAGGCCTGGCAGGCCACTCATCTGTACTTTTTCCTTTCCAATATTAGCTTCCAAACACACGGGGGGGATCAAATCAGGAGTGCACAAAATACTGATGCCCAGATATAAAACTGGCCTCCACTGGGCGTTTCGTTTGAGGTCTGTGAGGAGGATTGTCAGCTGGAGGAACATTAAGCCACACTTATTGTAGGCTCTCCTCCCCTACATTACTTTAATGCTATTTTTTTTTTTTTTTTTACCCCTATGCGTCAGTACCGGTCTATATCTACAGACAGTCTCAAATGCATAGGGAGTTGTACAACAGGTGAACAAATTACTATACCAGCTCCTTGAAATCTGACAGGAAGAACATCCTCGAGCACTTACTGACAAAGTTACTTTGAAATAATTGGATACACAAAGTCTGTCATCATCTTAAGTGCCTTTAACTTGCATTCAAGAGGCCACTACACAGCTCTTGTTTATGTGTGTAACAGAATCTTAATATACAAGAGAGACATGGCTGACACTTTCTATTATAAGTGCCTTTCCCCTGTCAATTGGAAGGATGGGCTCATGCTAACGAATGTAATTACACTAATAAGCAACCAATTGTCTGATAGTAAGACAAGCAGCAGAGCACTAAGCCACCCCCCGCCCTTCTTTCCATCTTGCAGTTTCATTAGATGAGAAATTAAAGGCCTTAAGATCACACAATGAATCCATCTCTGACACCTGTGAATACAGAGCACCCATATCACTAATAGCCATTTTATTCAAACAGCGATAATGCAAGATGACATCCTGCACCATTCAGGTAGAATACCAAACTGTCTGCTCTCAGATGAAGTAAGTCATCAAACATGGGTTACTTTAGCTTGTATCTGAGAGTACTTTCAGTAGAAAAAGAGTGTCAGAGTAGTCAGTGCTAGTAGCTACAACAATTCTATGCAAGTGTGGTAGTGGCCGTCTTATGCCGCCACCCAGGAGACTGTGTTCATCTAAATTAAGCAGGCCACATACGGAACAAAGGTTCCTGCTATCTGAAGTTTATCCCTCCCCACATTCCTTCTAAAGCTGATGCAAATGTCAGAAATAAATATAAAGTGACGCAAAGCTAAAGTCTATATTGTAATATAATTGCATCAATCATTACTTTGATCCAAACTATTATTAGGAATACTGATAGTGAAAATGATGACACACAGTGCAAAAAGGACAGTTTGTGGTTTTATCAAAGGTACACTGTGGCTTTCATACACGGAGTGAACAGGCATATTATCCAAAAAAGTTGCATTATTACTTTAATAAATAATGTCTCTCATCAAGATGTGCCCTTGACTAATACACTTAACCTCTGATTGCTCCAGTGTTGCTTAAACATCAGCAGAAGTCTGTGTTGGTAGTTAAATCACTGGGGACATCTTGATGTACTCACCCCCTGCTCGTCCAGCTTCAGGAGCTGCTCCGGGACCTTGGGAGAGTTGAGGGCCAGCCTCAGACACTGGATATTAAGCTCAGGGATGACGTATTCGAGCACTTCCTTCAGCGGCAGGCCACGGGCTGTCCCATGTCTTGCCGTAGATGGAATGGCATCCTCCAGGATGGCTCCACGGAGTGTGGTCAGCTGACAGGAAAGAAGACAGTCATCAATTTAATTAAGTCAACTGCCTGCTGTGTGTTTTATGAGATCCTAGTATGTCTTTGTATAATGTGTTAATCTGGGCCCGCTCTCACATATGTCTAATATGTCTGTGGACCAGTAATTGGATTCATTTTATCATCCAAAATGTTGGAAATGAAAACCAGGCTGATAGTGTCAGCCAGTCTTAATACCCTTTGAAGTTGTGGCGTATTATTTAGGGCAATGGCTCCATTATGGCCTCACTAGAAGTGCTTCAGGAACTCACATTCTAAATAATTAAGACAGGCTAACTGAGCACAAGATGTTAAGTGGTATTTTACTGTTAAGACCATGAATATGCCAGTAAACACTGACCCAAACAGCTACCAAACACCCACTGTGTAATCCTGTGTTGTTGCCTGGAACATCACAGACACATTTACGCCAGTAACTCCCATTTCAATCTGCACAGCCTGCGGGCATGAGTGTCAGCAGTCAGTGTCTGTCCAACAGAGGCCTTCTGAAAAGCAGATTACTTAACAGACTCAGAGAGGAAGGGAGAGTGAGAGTGGGAAAGAAAGGCAGAGAGCGCTGAGGCTAAACGACACAACTACATGCAAATAGATGCTCCAGTGGATGCAGAGTTACAACACTGTCTGCGTGCTACTTGCATGGCTACTGTGACCCAGATACATTGTTTCACCATGGGAGCGATGCTTTAAACCAAGAATGGCACTAGATATCAGTGACATTTCTCTCCTTCACGCATCTGTTGCACCTGAATTATTCAGTGGATGAGACCACCCGGTATCAATCAAGAAAGCTTTCGGTACCACCAGGGACTGCGAGACTGTGCATCTCCGTTTTTGAATTGATCATGTTGTGTGTGCCACACGTGTGTATGCATACACATGTGGGTATGTGAGAGAGTGAGCAAGTGAGCAAGGGCGATCACACTGACTCTGAGAGACTGCATCACTGTTTGCATGCCTGGCTAACTAAGTCACTGGCAGATAATCAGACGCATTAGGGTGCTAGGAGCAGATTTAAGAATGGGGAACTGCGAGATGCCTCTTCTCATTTTTGGGGTACTGAAGCATTGCTGCACTTTTGTTCTGCTTAACTGAGCCTTGAGCTATGTGACCTAAACATGTCTTGCTGAATGCAATGGATGAAAAATATGAGAAATATGCTTAAAAAGTATGTTCTAGCCAGTAAAGAGTGCTTTAATAGAGTCACACATGGTTCTCCCATCATGCATTCATAACAGAGCTATGTTAAGACAAAAAGCGATGCATTTATATCAGTGTGTTATAGTTACCTGACTGGTTCTGAAGGTAATCCGATAGTTGTACTGCATTCCATCTTTCTCTTTCCCATCATCCAACTTCTCTCTGCGAACGCTGACTGCCACTGGTCCCAGATTCTCATCTACCCCAAAATAGTTCTGATGCTCTGGAGGTGAAACAAGAAAGATGTGAAATAAACACACTTCTGATTTGACAAATATCAAATTCAAAGAAATTTGAAGCTGAGGAAATTGTTATTGCTACACATTCACAAATTTTCACAATATGATTACCTGGTCGACATCTTTATTAAATCAATGCTTTTACTTCAACAGAATTTCAGTGTATACTACTGACTCCATATATTTATTTAATCATAAAAAGTCATGTGGATTGGTCACAGCTGAGCTTTGACACCAATTCCAGAGCACATCAAGAGTCCATGGAAGATTTGAAATGGATTCACTTTGGATTAGAACCTGGTTTATAATCGCTGCACCGGGATTTAAATAGTAAATACATAGATAAATAAAAATGCTTGACCCACCCTGATCCATCACTGACCCAGAAACTCCACACACCATCAGGCTTCTCACAATTCAAACACATGCTGAACAAAGTAATATTAGAGATTCTGCATAGAGAATATTTTTATGTAATGATGCATTATAAAAAAAATTGATGTTACTTTTGTGATACATTTAAAGTCAAAGGTCTTCAATCCTGAAATGATCAATGTATGGTCCCAACACACATCCCCGTATAACTTCACACAGACCCATGAACTACCACAGAACATAACCCACACTACTATAAATTACTAGTCTGCCCCTGCTACTGCAGCAAACCAAGCCTAGGCTTCACCAGTCATGCTGACATGAAATGATACAGCAGTCAACTTTTATTTTTGCTTTATTGGCACATTGCTTTTATGGGATAACTGACTATGCTGTGTGCAAGGAAATATGGGGAGAGACAGACAGGTTTCCTGGTTACAAAGTGGTTGTATGGTATGTGCCTCACCACGAGGCCACCAGGGCGTCCCCTTTGGTTCTGGCATTTATATTCGTCAGCGGAACATAAGCAAAGCAGTTTTTGACATTTCTGGGACTGATGTAAGTTGGTCACAACCAAAAAAAGAGATTTATATAATGCAGAAATCAGGATCTTCTGTGAATGCTGTGTCAAATTTGGCATGAATATTTATAGATGAATCATAATATTTTTAATGAACCAGGGTCCTTTTCTCTAGTGCTGCTGTCAGGCCTCATTTCCCTTTTTACAGTTTGATCTATGACTTTATCTCAACTACTGATGGACAGATTTCCAGGAAATGTCTTGGGGATATTCATGGTGCTCAGACAAACTCTCCTAAAGTTGTGGTAACCTCATAAGTCTTCAGTGTAGGCAAAAATTGACAAACTCTAATGGGCACATTCTTATTAAATCTCCTTGCCACCTTTACGCAGCCTGAAGGAGGAATACCTTTTCATTTGAGGATGCTCAATGGGTTTTCTTCTTTTGCCACCATCAAGATATTAATTTGTGCAATAACTTTATATTAATCTAAAGGGAAGATGGCCATGATATTTATGACTTCAGTGCTCCTAAGAGGTTGAACATTTTCACCTTGTTTCCATTAAGGCTTAAAGAATAGCAAAGTTGCCATTTTGCTGTCTAAATAAGACCCTAAATACAGTTTACTTAATGTGAAAATTGTAAACATATAGGCATCACTGTACCAAATACATAAAATTCATCTAATAAAGGCATATGTGTGTTAGGTGTATGTGTGTGTGTTTAGGACTCTGACAGAATTTTGCATACATGCTGCAGTGCTTTAAGCAAAACAGTCCCTAATCCAGGCTCATTGGGAGAAAGACCTAGATTCTAAAGGCAGCAAAACAAAAAAAAAAAACCTCAGGGGGAAGTCAAAGTGCTGAGATTTACAGACTTCTGCAAAGACATGACATCCATGCCATTTAGAGCACGCAATGTAAATACACTGGTTCCTGTCATGTGGCATTAACACTAAGCCACAGCACACATCAGCATGGACAATAAACTGTTTTCATGTAACTTAGGGTTAACTGTCTGAGGAATGCCTGGCTTGTCAGGGACAGTGGACTGAGGGTAAATGCTCTGTGAGGCATAAGGTTAAATGATGGTAGAAGGGCCAGCTATATTACACCATACACCACCTTTAATTATAACCTCGATAATAAACATATAACTGAATTTAAACATTTATGACAATTTCCCCAACAACTGAAACATTCTGAGCCACCCACATATAGTATGTGACCATGACCTTTAGGTAACATGGCCTGGCCCATGGATGTAGATGACACATTGTGTCCATTAGGGTAGCCTGGGGAGAAACACTCCCACTGCTAAGGGAAGGAGGCCCTCAGGATCAATAGGATCAATGTTCAACCCAGGTTGATAAAAGCTTTCCCCACAGTGGTGACACACGGTCATGTTTGTGAGAGTGTGTGCCTGTTACTGCGTTTGTTTGCGGTGAAGCAGAGGTGACAACAAACTTGCCTCTCCAATAAAACACCTCATGAAAACAGGGTAAGGGCTATATCCACTTACTGTGGAAAAGGCGACCTCCATTAAACCTATAACATCAGAACGAACCTGACAGCAACACGGGACATTTCAATTATACACTGAGCTGCATTGCCCTGGAAGGAGGTTAAGTACAACTATACCAGTTCTGGGATGAAGAGTGAGTGACGCAACATTTCACAGTGAATGATTATCAGAGTAACCTCAATGTTACACTCAAACGTACTGCAAGTGGAATAGATCTGTAATAGTCTCATTAGCCATGAGTGGAGACACCAAGCCTCGCGTGAGGTTCCACACTGTCATACCGAGGAATATTTCAATACAGAACATCTTTCTGAAAATGTTCAGACATCCGAGTGTAAAGGTCAAGCAACTGTTTTCTTGGGGGGAGGGGGCTTAAGAATCAATAACTCAGTCTGCTGACAGCAGCAAATACAGACACACACAACGGTAAAAAAGATGTGTAGCTATAATGTGCTGACTGGTCTGGGTCAGCATGGTATTTTCACTGTCAATCACATAGGTGTTTTAATGAGAGGAGCTGCAACCTTAGCGTGGTTTTGCTGACCTTACGGTTTTATATGAGGGGTCCTCACACACCCTGCAGCCCCCACAGGGAACAGCTGCAATGCAACCTCTCTTCTCACATGACTAATCACAGTTTCTCTGCAGAGTTCAAGGCAATATCACAGGGAGGACACTGGCGCTCCTCTACCGAGGAAGTGAAACACACCCTCACACCAAACACAGGCCTGCTATTGTTCTGGACCTTATTTCATCTGGCCCTACAAAAATAACTGGACCGTCAAGATATCTGACCCTGTGAGTGGAGGCAGTTCCAATAGGAAACTTTCTCTCACACGGACTGTGCACAGTCTCAGGGAAATGGATTTAGCCTAGAACATTTAAAAATGTATTATAAGCCTTACTTACCTCTCCCATAGAAGTATTTGTGGTAGTAGTACGCTCCAAGGTCAATATGCTCAATGATGTAGCGTTTGACTTTCTCCCTGTGGATTGGCTGGCTTTCTCGAGGCACCTCCAATACAGAGACTCCTGCGTTGGTGCAGTGGGAACTTAGAGATGATTCAAAAGAGCAGCTCTCTGACATACCACTGTAGTTGGCACTGTTGGCTCTGGAGAGGGAGATCTTCCTCTCACCCTCACCGCCTATCTCATTGCGAAAGTGTGGGCAGCTCAGCACTAAGTTGTTACTCTTTCCGTCTCCCTCGTCAGCATCCAGGTTCTCCTTGGGGTTTAAGTCCTCCCTGCTGCCCAGTGGAGACTCAAACATGGGGGCACTTCCACTGCTACATGCTGCTGCTCCACCATCTGACACTGCTGCAGGCCCAGCTCCACCTCCGGCCCCTCCGCCAGCTCCAGCTACAGCTCCAGCTCCAGCTGACGCAGCTGAAGCCCCAGTAGTTGTATTCTTCCTCTGGCTCAGGTTAACTCTGCTTGCCACTGCCTCACTGATGTTGAAAAGAACGCTCTGGACATCATAATGAGCAAAGCATTTCTGGAAGCTGAGCGGTCGCCGATCATCTTCAAGTGAGAGCCGCAAGGCGTCACTCTCACTCTTTATGGTCCGCAGCTTCTTGAACAGAGATGTTTCAGATGACTCTGATTTGAGACGTCTCATGAATGACTTCTCTCGCTCTTGGTTGTAAAGGAGAGAGCTGTCTATGTAGTCGTAGCCTGGAATGTGGACTATCTCACCCCTGGCAATTTGGGCTGCTGTCTGCAAGCTTGGGGAAAGGGCCGCATTACAGCGCAACAACTCAGGGAACCCCAGAGGCGGTATGCTACGGTGGTCCAGCGTGTCCATTGTGTAGCCTCTAAGCATGGTAAAGAAGCCATCCCCGCTCAGGCCCTGACGGTCAATGGAGGATGTGCTCCCATATTCACGGTGCAGCGAGGCCCCAGTGTTTGGATTGACTGCATTCTGGTCCATTATGTCCTCCGAGTCAATGTCACTTATGGTGACATCACTGTTGCTGCGTTGCCGGATAGGATGGAGACCCTTCAGCGGAGAGTGGCTGAGGAGGTCACTCAGGGTGTATTTGTCTGAGTAGTCTACCTCCAGACAGACTGCTTCCCCTTGCTCCAGGATTTCCACAGCGTGCTCCTGCTGGCCATTCTGAAATACCGGTATCACGCTCTGATAGTTTGGTGAAGGCCGTCCATCCCATCCATCTTTCCTCGGTGGCCATTCTGTCACCCTGGCCCTAACACCCATTTTAGGCATGGCTGGAGTACCATTTGTTTTGCCTGCACCATCAGTTTTCCCCTGCATGTTGGAGGCTGGTGGTCCCATGTTACCA